GTGGCTCCCTCCTCATCCCAACTAGCCCATTCTAATCCCTCCCTTCTTTCAACCTCTTGCCCACCCTCCCGCTGTGGGGAACTGTATTTCCTAAGGCTGCCATACAAAGTGCCACAAACTGAGTGGTTTAAAATGACAGAAAGTTATTGTCTCACAGTCCTGGAGGCTAAAAGTCCAAAGTCAAGGTGTTGGCAGGGCTATGGTCTCCCTGAATCCTTCTCTGCTACTTCTAGCTTCTGGTGGTTTGTCAGCAATCTATGGGGTTCCTTGGCCTATAGATAATGACCACCCTTGTCACTGCTTTCATCTTCACATGGTGTTTTCCCTGTGCCTCCCTCCACATGGCCATCTTCTTATAAGGACACCAATCATATTAGATCAGGAGCCCAGTATGCCCTCAGCTCAATGACATCTTCAATAGCCCTGCTCTTTTGCATGTTATTTTTACTTAACAGCACATGCTGAGAATCACTGCACATCAATCTTATAGAGCTCTTTCCCATTCTTTTAGAGAGCTGCTTGTGTTCCATTTTATGGATGAGCCATAGTTTATTCAGTCTTCTATGAACAAGCATTTGGATTGCTGCAACGAATAACCTGTGCATGTATATTTTCACTTTGTTGGAATGGTATCTGCAGGATAGATTTCCTGGAAGCGGTATTGCTGGGTCAAACTGCATCGGTAGTTCTGTTTGGTGTGGCCTATTCCTCCTGGCAGTTTGCATTCCCATGAGCAAAGTATGAGAAGGCCCATTTCCCCACAAAATGCATTGTCATGCTTTTTAATTTTGGCCAGTGTCATAGGTGAGAAATGCTATCTCAGTGCTGTTTAATTTGCATTTCTCTAATTACGAGTGAACTTAAACTTTTTTTCATAGATTTGAAGCATATTTTCCCATTGGATTTTGAGTCATTTAATTATTTTTTAAAACATTTTAAAGATATAATTCATACACCATAAAATTTACCCCTTTCAAGTATACAACACAATGGTTTTAGTATATCCATAGGATTCTGTAACCATCAACACAATCTAAGTTTACTAGAACATTTTTATCACTCTGAAAAGAAACCTTGTACTCAACCCTATTCTTTCCCACTCCCCAGCCCTAGGCATCCTCTTGCCAACTTTCTATTCCTATATGGATTTACCTGTTTTAGACATCTAATCTAATAATAGACAAACGCCTCCCATTGGCTAATCAGTGAGATATGCAAATTAACCGCCAACAAAGATGGCGGTTAATTTGCATACATAGGCGAGAAGGCGCTGAAGGCGGCTCCGGCCAGAGCGAAGGCCTGGGTGTCAGGTGCCGGAGGAAAACCGGTGCCAGCAGCCAGGGGAAGGGAAGGCCTATTGCACGAATCTTTTTGTGCAACAGGCCTCTAGTTTAATATAAACAGAATCATACAAAAGTGGTCTGTTGTGACTGGCTTTTCTTACTTAGCATAATGTTTTCAAGTTTCATCTATGTTGTAGAATGCATCAACACTTCATTCTTTTCATTGAATAATATTCCATTGTATGAATATATTGCATTGTTATCTATTCATTAGGTCAGTGATTTTCAACCGGTGTGCCACAAGAATTTTTAAAACAGGCAACACCTGACTAATCAGTCAGGGGGCACTGACCTCTTTTCCTTAGATCAGTGGTTCTCAACCTTGGCTGCACATTAGAATCACCTGGGAATCTTTTTAAAATCCTGATTTCTGGGCCTCATCCTCCGGAAATTGTTTCTTTGTTATGGGGTTGGG